AAAAGATATTAGGAGACGTTAGAAGTATAGAGTTGAAGTAGACTTTAGAAGGAAGCAAACCCAATTCTAAACAGGGAACAAGGATAAACCTCTATCCTGTTCAAAAACCGGGGAGATGTTAAAGGAGTTGAAGTAGACTTTAGAAGGAAGCGGAAACCCAATCCTAAACAGGCAACAAGGGATAAACCTCTACTCCTGTTCAAAAGATAAGGGAGGAGACGTTAGAAGTATAGAGTTGAAGTAGACTTTAGAAGGAAGCGAAAACCCAATTCTAAACAGGGAACAAGGGATAAACCTCTACTCCTGTTCAAAAACCGGGAGGAGACGTTAAGTTGAAAGACTTTAGAAGGAAGCGGAAACCCAATCCTTAACAGGCAACAAGGGATAAACCTCTACTCCTGTTCAAAAGATAAGGAGGAGACGTTAGAAATATAAGTTGAAGTAGACTTTAGAAGGAAGCGAAAACCCAATTCTAAACAGGGAACAAGGGATAAACCTTTACTTCTGTTCAAAAGACCGGGGAGGAGACGTTAGAAGTATAGAGTTGAAGTAGACTTTAGAAGGAAGCGAAAACCCAATTCTAAACAGGGAACAAGGGATAAACCTCTACTCCTGTTCAAAAGACCGGGGAGGAGACGTTAGAAGTATAGAGTTGAAGTAGACTTTAGAAGGAAGCGAAAACCCAATTCTAAACAGGGAACAAGGGATAAACCTCTACTCCTGTTCAAAAGATAAGGGAGGAGACGTTAGAAGTATAGAGTTGAAGTAGACTTTAGAAGGAAGCGGAAACCCAATCCTAAACAGGCAACAAGGGATAAACCTCTACTCCTGTTCAAAAGATAAGGGAGGAGACGTTAGAAGGAGTTGGAGACTTTAGAAGACGTTCTAAAAAAAAAACAAAGGGATAAACCTTTAGTTCAAAAGACCGGGGAGGGAGACGTTAAGTATAGAGTTGAAGTGAGACTTTAGAAGGAAGCAGAAACCCAATCCTAAACAGGCAACAAGGATAAACCTCTACTCCTGTTCAAAAAGATAAGGGAGGAGACGTTAAATATAGAGTTGAAGTAGACTTTAGAAGGAAGGAAACCCAATTCTAAACAGGGAACAAGGATAAACCTTTACTTCTGTTCAAAGACCGGGGAGGAGACGTTAAAGTATAGAGTTGAAGTAGACTTTAGAAGGAAGCGAAACCCAATTCTAAACAGGGAACAAGGGATAAACCTCTACTCCTGTTCAAAAAGGGGAGGAGACGTTAGAAGTATAGAGTTAGAAGAGACTTTAGAAGGAAGCAAAACCCATTCTAAACAGAACAAGGGATAAACCTCTACTCCTGTTCAAAAGATAGGGAGGAGACGTTTATAGAGTTGAGGACTTTAGAAGGAAGTGAAACCCAATCCTAAACAGGCAACAAGGGATAAACCTCTACTCCTGTTCAAAAGATAAGGGAGGAGACGTTAGAAGTATAGAGTTGAAGAGACTTTAGAAGGAAAGCACCAATTCTAAACAGGGAACAAGGATAAACCTTTACTTCTGTTCAAAAGACCGGGGAGGAGACGTTAGAAGTATAGAGTTGAAGAAAAACCCAATCCTAAACAGGCAACAAGGGATAAACCTCTACCCTGTTCAAAAAAGGGGAGGACGTTAAAATATAGAGTTGAAGTAGACTTTAGAAGGAAGGAAGAAATTCTAAACAGGGAACTAAACAGGAACAAAGGGATAAACTTCTGTTCAAAAGACCGGGGAGGAGACGTTAGAAGTATAGAGTTGAAGTAGACTTTAGAAGGAAGCAACCCAAACAGGCAACAAGGGATCCTACTCCTGTTCAAAAAAAAGAAAGGAGGAGACGTTAGAAGGGACTTTAGAAGGAAGCAATTCTAAACAGGATAAACCTTTACTTCTGTTCAAAAGACCGGGGAGGAGACGTTAGAAGGAGGAGAAGGAAGAAACCCAATTAAACGGGCAACAAGGATAAACCTCTCCTGTTCAAAAATAAGGAGGAGACGTTAGAAGAGTTGAGATTTTAGAAGAAAGCAATTCTAAACAGGAACAAGGATAAAAAAGACCGGGGAGAGACGTTAGAAGTATAGAGTTGAAACTTTTAGAAAGCGGAACCCAATCCTAAACAGGCAACAAGGGATAAACCTCAAAAAGATAAGGAAACGTTAGAAGTATAGAGTAAACTTTAGAAGGAAGGAAACCCAATTCTAAACAGGGAACAAGGGATAAACCTCTACTCCTGTTCAAAAAGACCGGGGAGGAAACGTTAAAGATAGAGTTGAAAACTTTAGAAGGAAAATATCTAAACAGGCAACAAGGGATAAACCTTCTCCTTTCAAAAGACAAATGTTAGAAGTATAGAATCATTTTTAGAAGAAAGCCAATCCCTAAACAGGAACGAGGATAAACGTCTATTCAAAAGACTAGGGAAAATGCTTGATTTTAAAATTTTATTTCCTTTTCTAAAATTTTTATGCTTGTTTTATTTTATTTTATTTTATTTTCTTTATTTATTTTATTTTATTTTTTTTTGTACTATATGCAATTTCACATTTTGATCAATGCTCAGGTTGCTCAACATTTGCACAAGAATTCGTACTCATATTACTGAAATGTCTGCTGACATTTTTTATTAGCCAATAAACATAATATGAAAGTCATTTCAGAAAACGAAACTACTAAAATTGATAGAATTCTTGAATACAGTATAAAATAACGGAATTAATAAGTATTTTCTTTTGAGTTTTCTGTTTTACTTTTTGTTATTTTGCCTTTTTTTATTTGCTTATCTCACATTGATGTCAGTAATGGAGGTGCTTATAATTTAGTCATATTTTGAATTGTTTTCATTTTAATGCCATATCCTTCAGGATGTATGGAATCGTGACTCTCCATGGCATCCTTCTTGGAAAAGACAGAGGCATGGTTTCCCGTGATTGTCTCCATGGTTTAGAATTATGGAGCTTCGTTCTATTACACTGTTCACCATCCAAGTCTACTCTAAACATTCTACCCAATAGCGAGCGGTTAAATATGAGTAGAGTTTCTTGCAAACGAACTGCTTATTAAAAAGATCGTCTACTATAGCATAATGAGAAAAGGGGTTCATTTTGCACAATAAATACTTGTTTTTTAATCGGATTCACCCCAAGCAAGGCAGTAAAGCCACTAAGACACAAGGGGGTCACAGGGTGTGGAAGAATTACGAAATAGAAACGTTACTAAGGAGCGAGAACAATAGAAGCGTAAGAAAGATAATAGATAGCAATTGACATCGTATTTATATTTTTTAAGATTAAAATAGACTGGAAAGCATGGAGACGGAAAAGAGCTCCACAATCAAGAAGTGCGATGCAAAGAAACTGTTAGCTGAGATCTTAAGGTTACATCGAGCCAATTCGACTGTAAATTGATGAAACCTCGTCGTTAGTCTTGCACTGTACTTAAATTCCTAAAGTGTAAGTACCAATCGAAGAGCGCATCCGAACTGTTGCCATGGAAATATTTATAGAAATGGCAACCTTACGGCAGTGGCAAAGTGACTGAAGCCGAGGCGCTTGGTCAGGTCCAATAATATTGCAGATTCTTCTTTGAATTTTATGAAGGATCTCTAAATATATAGCAGGAGCACTGGACCATATGTGGCAGCAATATTCTAAGCATGGACAATTGTTGGACTTATAGATATATACGATACATTCTGGAGAGAAAAATCATCGAGCACGACACAGGGAACCAACTTTCTTAGCAGAAATCCTAGCAATGGATTCAATATAGTCTTTCCAGTTCATGTCAGCCGAGAATGTTATCTCGTGAAGGCACAACGAGTTAGTCTCCTGGAGGTTAGTATCAGCCATGCTAGTGGAAGGTAAAGAAGGGGTCTCTCAGATGATTAATGGTGAGAAGTTTAGTTTTACAGGCGTTAAAATAAACAAGCCAAACTTTGCCCCAGTTAACAACGGACTGAAGGGTTTTTTTTTTACATCAGCCGGCAATTTGATCTTATCGAACTAATCGGACATACTGCCAACACAGGAATAAATGGTTGTGTCACCACCATAGATATCAAGTTGAGAGCTTATACCATTTGAAAGGTATTTAATGAAAATTAAAAACAAAGTAATAATCTTTCCTTTAGAGATGGGTGAATATGAATGCACATGTTAGTACTTCATATGCCCATTCCACGAAGTCGTTCCTTGCAGATTGACCATAGATTTTCAATTGGATTTAAATCAGGAGAGTTTCCGGGCCAGTCTATAGTATTTTGATTTGCTCACTGGTAAGGCTTACTAGTGTGTTCGCGCAGCGTTAAAATTTTCGTGTGGTGAAAGAAAGTAAACTAAAGCAGTTGTTTCAATTAATTTGCACAAGGGTGTAGAACATTATATAGTGAATATTTCAGATCAAAATTCAGGCGCCTCACGCTTGTATGCAATTATTGGTCGAAATGAGATTAGACAGATAATTTGATAAACTCTGACATAGGCTACATAAACACCTCACGTCCTTTGAGAATATAGAGGATCATGGCTCTTCACAGCTTCCTGTATTTTGTTGCTCACGGTAACTTTTAACTCTTCAATATTCCACCTTATCTGTTCTGACATCAATATACGCTAAACATATAGTTAATAAATAAAGACCATATGGGTCTCGTGAATTACTTGACGCAGATTAGAATGTCGTAGAAGGCCGGAGTCTATAACAGCTGAATTGTTCTTGTATAAACAACAAAGATGAAGATAATAATCCGAGTTTATTCACTGAATAATAAAATGAGCGTGGTTTGGATCATAATGGCAAGAGAAACAATTTTCAGTTATGTATACAGTGTAAATATTATATTTTGGGGGGGATCTTATTAAAACAGGCTTACGGCCACATCACGTTGAAATACAGCACCGACGTTAAGCAACGTCAAGCCTGGTTAGTACCTAAATGGGTGATCAATTGTGAATACCAAGTGCTGTAAGCCTAGATGTACAGATGGCATAATGGGTTTACGGCCACATCACGTTGAAACACCAGTTCCCGTTCGATCACCGAAGTTAAGCAATGTCGAGTCTGGTTAGTAACTAAATGGGTGACCATTTGGGAATACCAGGTGCTGCAAGCCTAGATGTACAACTGGCATAATGGGCTTACGGCCACATCACGTTGAAACACAGTTCCCCGTACGATCACCTAAGTTAAGCAACGTCACGCTTGGTTTGTACATAAATGGGTGACCGCTTGGGAATACTTAATTTTCTTAATAATTATGAAGATAAGACAAATTGGATGAAAAAAGAAAGTTGTCTACAATACATTTGTCTTTGAAACTTGTCTCGATAGAGTCGGATTGACTTTAATATAAAGTCGATATCGAAAACAAAATCATCTATTCTCCAATAAATTCATATATATATATATATATATATATATATATATATATATATATATATATTATGATTATTATTTAAAATATGTATTCATCGCGACACAGAAATTTACATGTTTTGATACCAAAACCTAAATCTTAAAATTAAACTGAAATTTTTAAATTTCATTTCATTTTCAAGCGATGCTGAATAACTTTCGAAAGAATGATTTATTCTTTTTATAAACTAAATAGCATTATATAGTTTAATTTGGTGGTGAAATGTGAATTCAAAATTTTTTAAGGGGGTGTGGTTTATTTGACGAATCGAGATACAAGTATAATTTAAGCTGGCAAAGTAAGTGTCGGTTAAAAGTTAGACTAGGCTTTTTAATTTCTGTCTGTTGATACTAGCTTCCTTATATGAGAACGTGTCATCAATGTCAGGTTTTTAAGATAAACTACAATACATGTGTCATTTTTTATTTATTTTTTATTTATTTTCTTATTTTATAAAATACATTGGGATTTTGTTAAAGAGACTTTCAAATTGGATTAAGTCGTGTATTTTATATTTATATTTTTACTTATAAAGATCTAAAATACTATATTTATTATATTTACTAATAAACTATATACGGTATTGTAAAATTAAACTATTAGAATTTAATTAAGCATTTTAAAACCTTCTTATTTTTGATCAAATAATAGATATATAATTATGCAATTTTTTTAATTGATTATATTTTAAAGAAAATATAATACAATGTCTACAAAAAGCTGATATTTCATTTCTTTGATTTAATAGATCTTTATTTTTCAGAAACTTAATAATACATAACTTTTCATGTAGGCACAAAAGACGTGGGTCATTTAAAGGTCTACATGTTCTTTTTTTTTTATTATTTTCCATTTTATTGTGGGTGTTTTAATTGTTTCTTTTAAATGCCAAAAATATTTGGATAGGGATGTTTGGTTGCGATACATAATATTATTGAAGGAAGGCAGATGTTGGTCCCATCTTAATTTAAACCCATTTTTAGTGCTTCCAATATAATTTTTTTCAATATTAGGTTTCTCAATAGATGAGATAGTGCATTGGTAAACTATAGATTCTGTAAGACATTTATGATTCAATGGACAATTTTTCAGGATTCCTACAGTTACATAATTTTTCTTTATTCTTATTTCTGGATCACTATTTCTTTGAGTCAGGATTAAGTATTTATTTAAAATTGTATTATTATGTTTTTTTATATTTTTTTCTAAACATTCAATACAACCATAACTTAATTTCAAGGTATTTTTATTAAAAATTTTGAAAAGTGTATTATTTCTAGGAAAATGTTTATCAATTAACGCAATAAAATTATGTCCTAAGTTACTACTAACCATTTTGTTGAATAGGGGATGATTTTTCTACTTCTATTTCTTCTCTAGTTTTTATCATCATTTTTTTTATATAATTAATGTCAGGGCATTTATAGCCACTATTCTTTAAAGATTTATTATAAAAATTACTGTGTTCATAGAATATTTTTTCATTAGCAGAATTTATACTTATTCATTTTTCTATGGATGAAGTTAGATGCTTTATTATAGATGGGGAAGATTTGGCTTCGCATATTTTTAAATAATAATTATAATATTTTGCTCTACAGTGTATCGAGCACTGTTTTTGAAAATAAATGCTAAAGAACTCTGGATTATAATTTTGACTATTCTTTCTTTTTATTTTGACATATTGTTATGACCAAGTAAATGATTAAGTAATAACAAATATCAGGTTAGAAGATACATCGTATATTAAACTCTAAGTACACCTGATCTTAAAATTTTACACTCTACTCGAGTATATATGGTATGTACTGAGGAGCCCTATCATGACGGTACAAGTATTCTGTTGGTGCCAGTCGGCCAAACCTAGTTGTTATGTAGTCATTTGTCTCGAGATGTTCTGCACATAGGCGACAACAGAATAACCTGCTGTTGAGTTTCAGGACATTACAGTGGTAGTTCCTGTTTAGAAGGAACCAAGCCAGCTACTGAGGATCAATGCCTTCTAAGCAGGAACTACAAATACAATGGCGTTGCTTTTACTCAACCTCGTTAAAAAAAAAAGCTACTTCCTATTCTCCCACGCCCCATTCTTCCATCCAGTCACATAAGCTCGTCGGGTGGCGTTTCGTTGCCTCTCTGTATCTTAGCCATCGATATATCGCGCGTTTGTGAAATTCTCCAAGCTCTCTTTCCTCATTGTGTGCTCCAGGAATTCCAATTCTCTTTTCGGCTTCCCTCTTCCTTAAAAATTCTTCGTTGCTTGTGATGGGATTCTCAGTATCTTTCTGCAGAATCAAATTTCTGTTGCTTCAATTCTTCGTCAGCATTCAGTGTCTTATAGAAGTAGATTAATATTACCAGAAGAAGAAGGAGGAGGAGGAGGATAATAGTAATAATGATAATAAGAAGAAAATGGGCAAGAACAAGAAGAAGAAAAACAAGAAAAACAAGAAAAAGAAGAACAACAACAAGGAGGAGGAGGATAGTAATGATAATAATAATTAGGAGGAGGAGCAGCAGCAGAAGAAGAAGAAAAAGAGAAAAGAGGAAGAACAAGAAGAAAGAGAAGAAGGAGGAGAACAATAGTAATAATAATAATAAGACAAAGGACGAGAAGAAGAAGAAGAAGAAGAAGAAGAAAAAGAAGAAGAAGAAGAAAGAAGAAGAAGAAAAAGAAGAAGAAAGAGAAGACGAGAAGAAGAAGGAGGAGAACAATAGTAATAATAATAAGACAAAGGACGATAAGAAGAAGAAGAAGAAGACGAAGAAGAAGAAAGAAGAAGAAGAAAAAAAAAGAAGAAGAGAAGACGAGAAGAAGAAGAAGGGAGGAGGAGAACAATAGTAATAATAATAAGAAGACAAAGGACGATAAGAAGAAGAAGAAGAAAGGGAAGACGAGAAGAAGAAGAAGAAGAAGAAGAAGAAGAAAGGGAAGATGAGAAGAAGAAGAAAGAAAAGAAGAAGAAGAAGAAGAAGAAGAAGAAGAAGGAGGATAATAGTAATAATAATAAGAAGGACGATAAGAAGAAGAAGAAGAAGAAGAAGAAAAAGAAAGAAAGAAAGAAGAAGAAGAAGAAGAAAGGGAAGACGAGGAGGAGAAGAAGAAGAAGAAGAAGAAGAAGAAGAAGGAGTAGTAGTAGGAGGAAGATAATATTAACAATAATAAGAAGAAGACGAACAACAACAACAAGGAGGATAGTAATGATGATAATAATTAGAAGAAGAAGAAGGAGGAGGAGGAGGAGGAAGTGAATTTACTACTATTACTACTACTACTACTTTTAATGTCCAGATGTCTACAATGTGTGATCTGGAATCAGGAATGTTGGAAATAAGACACGGTTGGAAATTCAAACATAAGGCAGCAGGATTTCATCTTAATTTCAAGGAAAAGCG